GCATAACGCGTGTCGTAAGCAGGAGAAAGCATTGGGTGAGGTCACTTGTTGCTGACAGATGATGGTATGAATCGCAAGCATGAACCATAGAGGGCGCTTCAGCATCTGTTGACTGGAATCCTGACCTCATAAAAACAACAGTGTATATTTCTGATGTCCCCTAACTTGGCGCGGCCCCTAATGTGGCGCACTTAGATTATTTCGTTCTCTAGTGCCTTGCTAAAGCAAAATTTTCAGGAGAAATTTCACAGTAAGTGATATTTCATCAAGCTCTTAACATTCCCGTTCATAAATCTTAAGTTTACTTAACTGTTTATCCGCTCCGTTCACAAGTACCCCCTCACCGGCAAAGCGAGTACAGTTGGGGGTGACCGACCGACGCCATCTTGCCTGACTGCAATTTTGCCGCGACGCGCGCCCCCATACCACTGCGTGTACAAGTACAAATCCCCTGGTGTACGCGGGTCACACAAGGAGCGGTGCGCGTCTACCAGCTAAATGTCCCGCCAATGGGACGTCGTTGCCAGGTAAAAGGGCGCCCACGTTTGGTTGCGCACGGAGCCCATAGAGTAAGCAAAAACCATTATTATGGCGTGAATTTTCAATTTTACTTTGAAATGCATAATGAACGCTTTTAGAATGCGCACAAAAATAAGAACATGATTTTCTGGCAAACTTGTAATTGGGTGTATGAGTAACGAACTATCCGGTTCGTTAGTGTCGTCAATTCAATTTAACCACGCCCACCGGCCATTAGATAGCATTGGAATATAGAGCTATATTAAATTAACGTGGAGCCGGAAGCTAACGCAACTTGAGCGTTTATCCAATGGGCGCTAGTAATCAGTGGTGTGCACGCGTGTAGGGCATTTTTTTACTAAATTACTAACCGAATGGGGAATTTTGTACGCTGAGTTTGTTTTGATAGACACATCGATCAGCATACTCCAGAGGGAAGGAACCGAGTACTTGAACCCAGGCGGACACATGTTTGTTGATGTCAACACTACAGTTGAAACCACCGTTCAAGCAACCCTGGACCATCAGCGTGCGAATCCTGACTGTGATGGCCGGCCTCAGCTACTAGCAGTGCAAGGAAAACACACAGGCCTTGCTGTTACAGAGGTTCTGTCATGCAACAAGTGCCACTTCTCAACGGAAGCAAGAAGCTGTACTTAGCAGAGGGAGGCGCAGTGCAACTCTAACATGACCTTTCAAGTTGGTCTCAACATCTTGCAGCCACAGAGCAAGACGACTTTTGATTAGTTTTGAAAGCCAAGCCTGCATTGCAGAAAAAAATAGCAAGTAGCTTATAACTGTGCATGGGGGCAATTATTATCACTGAAAATGCTTGAGTATGGAAGAGAAAATGTGTCAAGATATCAAAAATTACAGGACTTTAACAGAGAGAACCGTTTGCAAATAGTATCAGATACGACAGAGGCAATACAACAAGCTTTTGATAAACTGCCGGTGAAGAAACACAAGTTTGTGCCAGCGACCCAACTAGACATATACTATGTGAGAAAAATGGTAGTAATGTTCCACCCCCAAAATATACTTTTTAATGTGTGGGAATCAGATTCATGTAAATGCAGTAGTAACAAGTTTCTCTGTGCAGAGAGATACATGTAGTGCTACACTTCCAGCAATGTACAACTACAACATGTGAGATGAAAAAGAGGGGGAATTCAGTGTTCCAAAAACAATGAGAGACTTTTGAGACGTTGGTGGCAGCAAACACCGGTCCCTTTTCCATTGTTGCGTCATATTGAGCATGCGCGCTTTAAAAAAAAATAACGTAAACAATTGAAAAGGGCCGGTGTGTTTGCTGCCACCAACGTCTCAAAAGTCTCGCATTCTGGAAAGTAAGGAACCTTTGTTACTGATCAGAGATAGTAACAAATGATTCTGATTGTTGCCTATAAGTAAGGGTTTTGTTTCCTAATTATTTAGCCACGCATTTATTGGAATTGCTTATCCTCACTTAAATAGTCAGTCACTCGATTTAGTCATCAGTCAGGCTCAGTCAGCGATGACATGGGCCTATATCATGAAGCTGCTTGGCACACAAATTTCTTGGCATGAAAATTCTTCCTTGATAAAAAGAGGATTACCAACCAAATTTCCATGCGATGAATATTGCTTGTGATTGGTATTCAGCTGTTGTTTGCTGAGCATGAAAATCACATGGAGTTTTGGCTGGTAACCTGTTCGTACTAAGCAAGACTTTTTGTGCTAAGCAAATGTTTGTGCTTAGCAGCCACATGATATTGGCCCATGATCCCTGGTAGGAGTAAGCAAGAGAAGGCAAAGTTACTAAATCGGATTAATGATGATGTAAAAGTCACAGGGTACAGGCAGAAGCTGGGACAGTACTCAAGAATTGTGGAAGAATAATTTATTAGATTTCATGATTCCAAATCTGCGGTGTTTCTGCGGCGGACATAACTGGTCGTAACACGCCCCCGAGTTTGACTCCCAAATGCTTGATCTCCAGAATATGTCTATACATTCTGCCTCGTGTAGGCCTAATAATTGGCCTCAAGTATACATCTAATACAAAATCATTTGTGGGATCAAACAAAATGTAATGAGCTCGCTCTTAATGTTTACTTCCAATAAGTTTGCCCCATCTTTTCAACCCGAGCGGGGGGGGGGGGGGGGGACCAGGTTTTGAACTTACGCTTACGGGATACGTATGCGGCTTGGAACATTTGGAATTTCATCATTTTGTGCTTTACCTGAGAGTTATGACGTTGGCCAGCAGATTCTTCAACAATTGTAAACGTATTGGTAAACATTTGGAAGAATAAGCAAAGGGGCTTTATGGACAACTAATTACTTACCATTGTTTGACCTTAAAATCAGACAACTACTGGAAAAAATAGCAGCTATACAGAGTCCTTAATTCTTTCAACCTTTCGGTTTCGACTAATTTACCAATTGGTAATAAAACAAAGCAGTTATTGGCAATAATTGAAAAGAGGTCACGGTTTCCAGGATTTTTCGAATGATACCAGCCATACAACTGAGTACTGAGGTCTGGATATTGACTTTAGTAAAATCATCAGTGAACTGTTATAATTCACTTTTGCTTAAAAAAATATCGTAAATTAAACCTCTCTTTGATTCTATAAGTCAAGGTGACCGTTGAAAATGAGGCGAGTGCCCTTTTTTACGTCTCCCCTACCCACCCCAAAATATTAACAGCTTTGCTATTATGGAACTAGCGTACGAAATGCGTATGCGGCTTAGAAAATTGGTTGATTCATCATTTTGTATGGTTGCTCCTCGATTTACACCATAAATATGCCACCCTCATGTTATCGAATTTCGAGCGTTCAACTTGTGAGTGGTCCATGTAATTACAGCGCATACATCAGAATGTACATCTCCCACCCTAGTGTCAGGAGGCAGTGCTAGCAGTGGGGGTTCTACAAATAATAGTGTCTAGCCCATCCCCCCCCCCCAAAAGAAGTCCTTAAAAAAAATTGCACTAGCAAAATGTAAGAATGTGACGTACTTGCGAACGGTCTCCCCCTAAATAGTCGTGAGAAGGGTGCATTTGTACACTTTTAGTTAATATAGTCTGCCTGATTGTAGTATTTTATCAGCGCTCCCCATTGAAAATATGGCTCAAGCCCCCCCCCCCCCCCCCCCCCCCCCCCCCCCCCCCCCCGAAACTGATTTTCGGAGGCGTAATGTCCGGAGAAAATAAGTATCCGGACAAAATAACCAGTCTACATTTCAGCACGCCTTCCTGAAAAAATGTCTGGATCCACCCTGCTAGGCCCCCCCCCCCAATATTGGCTCTAGGTCATGCTCGATTACCAACCAAATTGCCATGTGATGAATATTGCTTGTGATTGGTATTCAGCTGTTGTTTGATGAGCATGAAAATCACATGGAGTTTAGGCTGGTAACCTGTGCGTAAAGCAATACTTTGTGGGTTAAGCAAATTATCCATGAAATTGGCCCCATTCCTGGTAGAAGTAAGCAAGAGCAGGCAAAGTTACTAAATCGGATTGATGATGATGTAAAACTCACATGGTACAGGCAGAAGCTGGGACAGTACTCAAGAATTGTGGAAGAATAATTTATTAGATTTCATAATTCCAAATCTGCGGTGTTTCTTCGGCAGAAATAACTGGTCGTAACACGCCCCCGAGTTTGAGTCCAAAATGCTTGATCACCAGAAATATGTCTATACATTTTGCCTCATGTAGGTCTAATAATTGGCCTCAAGTATACCTCTAATACAAAATCATTTGTGGGATCAAACAAAATGTAACGAGCTCGCTCTTAATGTTTCACTTCCAATAAAATTGCCCCATCTTTTCAACCCGAGCCGGGGGGGGGGGGGTGACAGGTTTTGAACTTACGCTTACGGGATACGTATGCGGCTTGGAACATTTGGAATTTCATCATTTTGTGCTTTACCTGAGAGTTATGACGTTGGCCAGTAGATTCTTCAACTATTTTGGATTGAATGAGAGTTCTTGTGATGGTTAGTAGGTTCTTTAACTATTATGTTATAATTATATTGGTTAATATTTGGAGGAATAAGCGAAGGGGCTTACGGGTAACTAATCACTAACTTCAGGTTCAGCTTTAAATGAGTCCACACTAGGGACATTATTAAGTATACAGAGTCCTTAATTCTTCTTACCTTTTGGTTTCGACTAATTTGCCATTCGGTATAAAAACAAAGCAGTCATTTGTAATTATCATTAAAAGGAGGTCACGGTTTTTAGGATTTTACTAATGATACCAGCTGTCGTTCATAGGATATGAGTGGGAACACAACAGTCCATTGCCTCGTTAATATTTATGGAAAACATGGGTAGACAGTTTGCTGCCTAATTGGTATCAAACCTAGCATAGTTCACCAAGTCAGCAGTATTCGACTAAAACACGTCACACTGATTAAACAATGAAATGAATAAGAATGAATGGATTTGGTTCCATCCCCACCAGTCACTGGGTGAGACATCAACATGGAGACCAATCGCTTCGTTATCTGTGTCCTCGTCGGTCTGGGTAAGTACCAACCACATGACACTGTCAATGCTTGGAGAACTACCAAAAAGGTCTGATGCATTATAGGCTTGTTTGTATTGTTATATATATTTTTTTCTGTTTCATCCGATAATAGTTGTTGCAAAAGCAAAAGGCGCTAATAAGAAAGCTGTTCTTGTCATCAAATGCTGTTTTCATTTTAAAAAAAATGAAATTTGGAAGGAAAATCAGTGCAAAATCGAATGATTTACCCGATCATAGATCGGGAAGGGTATATAGGTACCATAGCATGTATAACTGTCTGTAAATGTTTAATTGGCATTTTCTGAGGCAGTCGCATTTATGGAAAAACGTAGTTGAAAGGCTTACCGTAGACCACAGGCGAAGGCTGATTGTACAGTTTTGACAATAAATCATAATGAATTAAGAACGTTAAAGGTGTCATTTGCAAGGCAAATGTTGAGTGCTACCTAAAATTACAAAGTCTGAATCATTGAGGAAGGTCATAATTAAGTTACAGTATTGGACTCAAACACGTTAACTTGAACTTCTTACAATTTGCGAGACCTGCGAGGAAAAAGTCGATTCAACTTTTATTCAAGTTGGTTCAACCATCTATATATAAGAACAAATGTTAATCGGCCTCCGAGAAATGTTTGCTCCCAGATCCGAGACCGTGGTCATCCGCGACGCCAAAATCGCTCCACGATCGTGGAATAATGTGAGGGTGTATTCCGCCGGGTCGGACACTTCGGGTCGTCCTAATTTTCCTGTATGGACCGGCGATCCGTTTCGTCGATTTTTGTGACTGCGTTTAAGATCGCGATATTTGAAGCAATGCATCGATCCTTCGTTGATCCCAAAACAGGCCCCTGAAATTACAACGCGACACTGCCCGTGGCGGGCAGCGAACTCACAACACTCAGCCTTGATGGAAGCACGGAGCTAGTATAAACACATGATGGAAGCAACAGCACTCCGTCACGCACGTCACATGCTTGTAACTTTAAAAAGCGAGCACCGTAGACCCAACCTTGTTTCCAGGGTGTGGAGCAGGCTGCAGTACGCGTTGCCATCGACAGTTTTATGCATAGCCCGGAGACCGCGGTCTCGGATCCTTTCAGGAGCAAACATTTCTCGGAGGCCGAGTAAAACTTGCTCTTATATATATAGATGCAGATAGCTGGCCACGTTCGCCTATAGACCTTATGCGTCGTGTTCAATGTTATTGTAGAAAAGAAACAATGATTGCAAAAATATTCACAAATTCATATTCAAGTTATTTGCAAAAGGAGTTAAATCCTATAGGCATCCTGTACACAAAAGGTCATTGAGATTTACATAATTATTTCCCCTTTTTTCGTTTTCTCGATGTGACTGAAGTCATAAAAAGGAACAAGTTTTAAGTAACAATGAGCTATATAGCCGTGAGTGCTGGGGTATAGAAATTGACTTAAGTGAAATTAGAAATCGGTACACCGAAATCATCAGTGAAACATAATAATGTCAATTAACTTAATTTGCTTTCAAAAATTATCCAAAATAAAAACACTTAATGTACTGGTGTAGAAAGCATCAGGTGTAAAAAGACTAATGTATAAAGCATGAGGTCGTAGGTTGGAGTTCTTAACGAGCAAATTTGATTATTGGGAAACGTCTTGATGTACAGTCTAGCTGTTAACACCCAAATGTACAGAATACGCAATCATTATTGACAGGTGTTTTCAATCACTCATATGTTTACTTTTCTTGATTTCTTTTCAGCCGGGTTCACCAACGGATTAAGCGGTTAGTGTTTAGGACTCCCCTGTGGTCTTTCAACAGAATTATAAGAGAGATTCCTACTTCTGCAAACAATTTGTCACCTCACCGTAATGTTTGCTCAAGATTTCTGCATGTTTTACCAGCCTATGACAGATTGACAGGGGGGGGGTCGAGGGGGGGGGGCGGTCTTTCGAGGGAACGGTAACAAAGAGCAGCCGTGCTGTATTCCCCAAAACATTTAACGATTCTACCCAAGCAGCACAGGTAGAGACTGTCGGGACTGGGCGCAAGCGATTAATCATGAACATTGGGACAGGTGCATGGGATTTACAATAGGCACCAAGCGGCGTTGTTACGGGGAACTTGACGTATATGCATTCCTGGCCGTCTAAATTGGAAATTTGAAATAAAAATGTACTCCCTTTCAGATATCTATGCCTCTAGTTGCCTATAATAACTATGAAATGAAAAATTCAAATTAGGCTACACTCTAAACACTCCTGGGTCAGGTTGAACCGGAATCAGAATCCAAATTTGCTCAGTCCATTTCCGGATCAATATGCCTTTTAGGATCCAAAATTTCATTTTTAAAGGTAATTTTGACGTACTAGAAAGTGTAATTTTGACCCGGAAAAGCACATTTTGGTTCCGATTCCGGGTCAATCTGCACGACCGAGGAGTTTTGAAAGTGTAGACTTCTGGGGGTCCGCTCATAAGTCCGACGCCTCATATGTCCGACGCCTCATAAGTCTGACATACCAAACGCCTCGTTTTTCCGACGTCGTACTTATGAGACGTCGGACCTATGAGGCGGAATCAATAAATGTTTTGCGTCATAAGTCCGATGCCTCATAAGTCCGAAATTTCGGACTTATGAGGCGTCGGACTTGTGAGGCGTTGGACTTATGATATGGCCCCGAGTTCTGGGCCTAATTTCACGGCGCCACTAAGCACAAATAGCACATAAAAATCTGGCTTATAAAAGCAGGTTGCCAGCCAAAACTCCATGTGATTTTCATACTAAGCAAACTAACAACTGAGTTTTGGCTGGTAACCTGCTTTTATAGGCCAGACTTTTTTGTGCTAAGAACATTTTTGTGCTTAGCAGCGCCGTGAAATTGGCCCTATCCTTTACTGACTCCATACCCAAAAATAAAACAAATGCTTGAGAAAGCAAATGGTCATGTATTCCTGTGTTCTTTTATTGTGGCAGATTATTGTGAGTCTGATCCGTGCCAGAATGATGGGATATGCGAGAATTTTCTCGAAAAGTACCACTGCTATTGCAATTCTAAATACTACGGCAACAACTGCGAATTCTGTAAGTATATGATTACTTATACTGAAGATTCTAGCGATTGGAACCATTTTAAGCGAACATTGCAATACATAAACTTCTTGCGAATTGTCTTTTTATTCCTCACGCTTAGATGTTATTCATGTAAGCCCGGTTAAGACCCACTACATCAAAGAAATTAAACATGGTTTTCAACCTAAACTCGAAATAATCTGGTATTATTAAAGCAAATTTCTCTTTCATACTGAGCCTTTGTGAATTTATGGACTGATGTCATGCGTACGTTTTGATACCAATTTCATAAGTTTTGATACCAATTTCATAAAAACCAGTGGTAGTGTTTGAGCAAAATGTCAGTTTTGTTGAGTTTGTCATTCACCCTGTATTGGACATGCTTTCATTCACACTCGTACCTTCGGTCACGCGACAGAAAAGTTGAGGAGTGATCATTTAACTTTATAGACCTACTCTAGATAAAACCCATCTGGCATGATAATTTTCAGGGTCTAAATGACATTGGGATAAAACGAAATTTTTGGCAATTTTGCCGAGTCAAAATGACCTAACCCTAACCCTCTTAGTTAGACTTCCTTTTGGAGTTCTGAAGAGGATAACCACCAAGTACCAAGTACCAAGGATGACCTGACAAAAATTAAAGAGAAGTGTTAGTGTGCTCTGTACGCGTCGTCAGGGGGAGTCGTCTTCTACTGACGTCGCGACGGCCATGGCATACTGTCCGAAACATTAACTTTTCCCAATTCTGTTCAAAACCTTACAAACTCATCGTGCAAACCTTCGTTACTTTCCAGACAACAATCAATGTGACGGCGAAAACCCTTGTATGAATGGCGGTACTTGTAAAACTGTCGAGGGTAGGGACTATTACTGTGAATGCCCGCTGAATGTTGATGGACTGCATTGTGAAGACGGTAAGTTTGACCACCGATATAGACCATTCCCATCACGCCATTAGTGCACACCCACAAAGGCCATCTTGAATGGCCGAAGCATTGTACCTGCCACTGCTCAGATCATCCACCACGGAGCAGTTGGTGTGTACAATAGTTGGCATCATGTTTTTGCCATTATGGGGAGGAGTGTCCATAAGGCTAACTTTCAATCGTATACGGCCCACTCGTGAATAAGCCCATAGGCTACTTTCAATTAAATTGGGCAGTTTCTATTAATTTAATATAGGTTTTCTCGGTCAATTTCGGCAAATGAGCAGCCAATTTAACCACTACGCTATTCTATTTCGCGCGAAATCAAATGCTACCGAAAAGGGTCATTCGATTTCGTTTTATGACCAGTCAAATGTACTGTTGCGTCATTCGATTTAACAAAATAATCATGCAATTTAACAATTCAACAAAGCAGCATTCAAATTCGCAGGAGCTTTTTGAGGCGTGTGTTTAGTCATTCAAATTCATTTTTGGGCAGTCATTTCTGGAATTTGTGCAATCTAAAAAACGCTTTGTTAAATTTTTGTTTCCTTAAGAATGTTGAAGGCATAAATACGGTTCACTTTTTGGCACTTGAGTCACTTTGCCGATGTACTTCGAAGACGAGCTTTCGTTACAGTTTTACACGCATATTTCTAGAAATGGCAGCTCGTGGTCGCTACGCTAGAGTGGCCCAGGTAGATCGAGAAAGGTTGATTGAGGCCTTCGAGGGAAACGAGCAAGACTACCTTCAGCTTGCGGTCAATTTGAACATCAACAAGTCCACAGCCAGATCAATTGTTGCAACATATTTGAGGACTGGAAGGCGAGAGACGCTGGCAAGAGGAGGAGCAACCCACAGCAAGATGGATGATGACATGCGAAACCAGCTGCAAGGCATCCTTGACGCTAATCCCGTCTTGACACTTCAACAAATGAAGGCTAGTTTGAGTGAGCATCTGCCAGAGAAGCCCCAGGTTTCTACTGCCACCATAGCCAGGGCCTTGGATGGGATGATGATTACACTGAAACTAGTGGAGGACGTCCCTGATGCAAGAAATTCCTCTGAAGTTCTTGATCAACGCGTCCAGTATGGTGAGTGGTTCCTGTAGCATGGTGTTCTGGCGCACCTAGTCTTCATTGACGAGACATGTTATAACGTCTGGACTCGACGCTCCCAGGGTAGAGCTCCACGAGGGATCGCTGCAAGACGAGTCGTCGACAGACAACGAGGGAGAAATTGCAATGTCACCTTCGCTGTTTCTAGTGAAGTAGGCTTGGTGCACCACCGAATCGCATTCGAAACTGTGACGCGAGAGAGATTCGAGGAGTTTCTTGCGGACACAATTCAAGAGTGTGATGCAGTTTTCCCAGACGACGAACCCATTTACCTCATATACGACAATGCGAGGCCTCACGTGCGAGCCCAACTCCCTGAAGGTGCCAACCCAATGATCCAGCTGAAGCGCCTCCCTCCCTACTCCCCATTCCTGAACAGCACGGAGATGGCACACTCTGCATTCAAGGCTGCAGTTAAACGCATCCTTGGGTTACCTGAGTGGCAACAACGTGTCGGAGACAGACAGGCTGCCCAGCAAGCAGGAATGAACATGCAGCAGTGGAGGTGCGATCTCCTTCAACAAGCAGCCATCCAGAGCGTTGATGTCATCACCCAAGTGAAGTGCATGCAGTGGTACAACCATACCCAAACATATATGCCAAGATGTCTGGCACGCCAACAGATTGATGGTTGAGGAAGAAACAACATAAACAATAAAAAACCAGGAAAAACATAAAGAAACACCCCATTCAAACACAATACAAAATTAGGTCTTGGTCAGTTAACCAATAAAGATCCCCCCCCCCCCCCAAAAAAAAAAAGAATGAAGGAGAAAACAAAGAAGAAGAAAAAACCTCATTGGCCCCATGTAAAGTCTACTGGAAGCATAAATAAAGAAAACAAGGTTTGCCTGAATTAAAGTGAAGATACGAAACAGTTGCCTAGTACAGTTTATCTGTTTATTCGTATTTCTTTAGTCGTACTTATTTGAATTCTCTTTAAGCGAAATTGATTGCCTCTTTACGAAACTGAAAAAAAATAAATAAGTAAAATCTCCAGTCGAACCAGCTTTGCTAAATTGAATGATGATTGTGTGTCACGAAAAAGAATGACGATATGCTAAATTGAACACAGTGCTAAAGGGATTTGAATGCCTCAAAACGAAATTGAATGGCCGAATTCTGAATTTGAAACGCAGTAACAACTGGAGAGGCAAAATAGCTTCAATTCGAACGCACGAAAATTAAATTGGCTGCGCATTTGCCGAAATTGACCGAGAAAACCTATATATAGTTAAGAGCCCCACCGCAACCCTGCGTTTGTCTGACCCAAACAACCGCCAAAACCTCTTTTTTTCAGGAAATGTTTCTTGTGATTTTTACTACAGATTACTGTCTTATTCACGAGCCTTGCCAGAACGGCGGAACATGTTACAGCTATCCTAATGATGGCTACTACTGCAACTGCCCAAGCGGGCACAATGGATTTCATGGACCTAACTGCGAAACTCCTTTAAATTGTAAGTACCTGTCGTTATTTTGTGAAGTGTGAACGAAAAATAAGAACATTGTCACTGTTAATCGTTGTGTGCCCGGCAGAAGGGCATATGAGCGTTCAGACGCGAAAATCCTTTTCGCGAGAAAATCGAATTTGAAGGAACGAACGTTCTCCCACGCGTCTTATAAATCGTACGCACTTGAAATTTTTCACATGTATGGATTATAATTTTGGAAACAATTTATGTCAATATCAGATGAAATGTTGGAAATTAATATGCCCTTGAGTCTGCCGGGAAGAATGTGGCGCGTTTGCTTTTGCACATAAGGGCGTAAAGGTCGGTTTTCACGGGGCACGCAAACGATTTGCGAAGGATGCGAATGTCGAAAAAATGGCAAAGTCCAACATTCGGAGAAGTTTTTCTCCGAATGTCTCCCGACAATGGAGTCGTAAACCATTCTTGCGCAGTTTGTGCGAAGTTCTCACAACGTATGTGCGAATGTCGTGTGTACAGTGACTGAACTACGGCCAGTCCACATACACGAAGAACACGCGACTTAAATGCGAACAACGCGCAAAAAGTTTGCGGAAAGGTCGAGAAATAATCGGGCGAACTTCGCTTCTAGCGCGAGACATTCTCCAAATTGTCGGGGTTACGTCTGTTTGGGGATTTACGAAGAGTTTGCGAACATCGCGCACGTCTTGAGTAGGTCCTGCGCATATGACGAAGCTTTTAAGACATTTTTTTAGAAAAAATCACGAGCAAAACACGACCCGGAATGCTGGAAAGGTTTGCAAGAAATTTCAAATATTTTTGAAACTCCCGCCAAACTAAAAACGACGCCCGCGAATAATTGACGATGCTTCCGAACCCCTGCGATGGTTTGGCGATTCTTTGCAGCATAAAATACGAATGTTGGACTTTGCCATTTTTCCGACATTCGCATCCTTCGCAAATCGTTCGCGTGCCCTGTGAAAACCGACCTTATGTGCCCATATGCCCTTCTGCTGGAGAGATTGTGGCGCGTTGGCTTTCGCGCATAAGGGCGTCAGTGCCCATATGCCCTTCTGCTGGAGAGATTGTGGCGCGTTGGCTTTCGCGCGTAAGGGCGTCAGTGCCCATATGCCTTTTTGCTGGGGAGATTGTTTGAACAGGACGTTGACACGTAGGGGCATTTGCGCATTTATTGGCATAAAACGAACTATCCTTGCTTCAAAGACAAACAAATCAGTGTGGTTTTAGGCAAATTTAGGGGCATAACAAGGTTCTAGTATGCACCAGATGTTAACCTATGTTCCGAAGTTTGACTGGTTTGTGTGACAATGTGTATGCAGTATGCACTCCTCACCAAGGTGGGTGGATAGTTTAATCCAATGGGGGGGGGGGGGGGGTGGTAAGAAACTAATATGATCCACTACAAAAACAGAAATATATTAACCACTGTCTACTGTAATTGATACTTATCAATTTTGGGTTTTTTTCGCAACAATTTATCTTCAAATTTGATTGAAATGAAAATACAATGTACACAAGTACACAAAGAATGTTTAAATTAATTTGAGTTGTGTGTTATTACTGTTTAATAACAAATTACAAGAAAATGTAGTTATCTATTTATGTTGTTTTGTCAAACACTTTTCATGCATTTAAGAGGAGTAGAAAGAAAGTAGAATTGCATGAATGGACGGGGCTCGACGTGGTAGGATGGGGTCAATCCTTTTCATCCCTTAATTCATTTTGCACATTGTATACTATTAAAACCCATATTAAAAAAAATGTCAGTAAAATAAGGCTGCATTGTGCCTGCATAAATAGTCTGGCGCCATCCCATTACACAGTTGACAGTTAATGAAATACATTCAGGGAACTCAACAAAAATGGCCAACTCGCGAATAAGGCCCGTGTTCAAACAAACAAAAAAGGGAACGTTCTTCTAGATTGATGACATTAAACATTAGAGAATGTTTAATTGCAAATTTTAAATTATTCATTGAAGCAGACTGGAATTTACTTGCTTTCATTTCTCTTCGCAAGTTTCAAAAAATTTTACCTAACTTTCAATCCAATACGGCCCACTCGTGAATAAGCCCATAGGCTACTTTCAATTGAATTGGGCAATTTCTATTAATTTAATAGTTAAGAGCCCCACCGCAACCCTGCGTTTGTCTGACCCAAACAACCGCCAAAACCTCTTTTTTTCAGGAAATGTTTCTTGTGATTTTTACTACAGATTACTGTGTTGAGATTAACGACCCGTGCCGGAACGGCGGAACATGTAACAGCTATCCTAATGGTTACACCTACTGCACCTGCCCAGGTGGATACTATGGACCTAACTGTGAATTCCATTAAATCGTAAGTACCTGTCGTTATTTTGTGAAGTGTGGAGGAAAATAAGAAGGATATTGTTACTGTTGAGTCTAAACAACGCCCTCTGTCGATGTAATCTGACAGGTCTGAACCAAACAATTGCAGACGTCATTGAATACACTGCATTAATGGAGTCAGGTTCTTGGTTTCCCAAAGTCTTGAGACACACCCCTTCCCTCTTGGAACTTTTTGTAGAAAAAGAACTTTAAAAGAACTTAATGTGACGCCACAGATGAAGTAAATAGTTAGTTAAAGATGCAATTTAATATCGGTACTCTGGTCCAATTAAATAATTGATGCAGCTATTTGTTTTGCCTGGTTGCAACATCAGTACATACAAAATAACCTGGTACTTTATTTTCGTGATATTATTGGATTTATTTTCTATCTCTCATCAGACTAAGGAGCCGATGTAAAGAACATCACTATCATCTTGGCAGACGGTGGTGAGACGGCTGATCCAGCAATTCTTAACGCGCTTGCTTCTATAATTACAGTAGCTCATTGAATCATCGCATGAAAGTATTCGAATCGATACATCATGATCTCTTAACGCATACTAAGGAATGCAGCCCTATTCTGGAACAAAATCCTTCTGATCCAAATACGGTCAAGACCTCAACATTAACACTTCTTGCTCTCATCCCTTTTTTAAGGGGAAAAACAATATTTCCCATTGAAATTAATGTTGGCAACACTTATCACGGCTAATGACAGCTCAATAAAGTAATGTGCAACAAAAGTTTCTTTAAAGGGTTCATGCAAAGAACTTGTCTTAGGAACACCATTCTGTGTAACATTTTCCTCTTACGTTTTTGAAAATTATTTTACATCCCTTTTTGGTTAATTTTCCTATACAGTGCACTTCTTTAAACATTCAAGCATTTTCCATGCTATCACGACAACGAAGGGAGTTGTTGCTGTGATGTCATTTCAGAAAGACAGGGTTCATTTTAGGGGTGTCTATTCAAATTTTGAACCCAAACATTTGCTCATGGAAACATTTGTGAGAAAAACTAGTAGATTTACTGCCGTGTACTGACAGAGCAACGAATCACCAAAGAAAAGAAAATATGCAGCAGCAAAAATGTCAAACATTTTGGCAACTTGCGTTGCTAAGATAACAGTAACATTGAGGTTTCTGCCTGAAAAGACTTCAGACTATTGGTCATGAATATTGAAATTATTAGCATAAAAAGACACTAAAATGCCCTTGAAAAATGGCAACAACAACAAAAACGAAAAACTTGAAATAGGGTTAAATGCAACAAGATGCATTACAAATTTACATTGCATGGGCCCTTCCAAATATATGTACATGTACAAATAAAACAACCGTGACTTAAAAAAATCACAAAATTGAATGTAAAGTGTTACCCAATACCATTATAACTGATGTATTTCCGGCCGTTAATAAATTGAGGGAGGCTTGCAATAGACTGAGTAATTGCTTTGAAATAAAATTACATAAATGCGAATATTAAGCATCTTCTCATCTTGTTCTTTTAACACTGTACAGCGTGTGGTGTGGACTGGGGACAAAACGGTTAGGGCACAAACAAAAGATCCACGATTGACCGATAGTCCACGATTGAAATTCGTGTACAAAACCAATGAGAGCTGTTGCTAAACAGTTAAAGAGGTTGTGGAATGCTCGAAGACATTTCCGTCATTTTTCGGGTATATGTAGCCTAAGGTGTGATGAAATAAAAACGACTATTGTTTCTGTCATGAAATGAGTACAAAAGGTACTTTTGAGAGCTGTTTTTCAGGTCCAGTTTCGACCCGAACGTGCAACTGTGTAAAAGTCGTCGTTGCGGGCAGCAAACAAAACACAGTAAATCGTGACGTAATAAACAGGACTCGTGTATGCTACTGTGCATCGGACACCATCTGAACCTAGTGGGTCCTTTCCAAGAAGCGATCTTGGACACTATTGAATAATAATATAGGTGGCGCTATTCGTACTGGCATATGCCTACAGACACACAAACGTTTTAGCGAGAACGAATTTTGATAGGAGGACATTCCCTTATTCTTTCTCTTATGTCCTTTTTAAAACAGGAATCCACTGAATGGTGGTATTAGGATCGTCAATTCTATGTCGTCCAGATCTATACACAGTAGCTCCTATTCTTTGCTTCTAAAGCCAAGGGCAAATTCTATTAAAGTGTTAAAGCGCCCTCTCGTTTTTACATTTGGACATTTCGTTGACCTCGTCTTTAGGCTCCTTTTTTTGCTTCATTAAAAGCAGAGTCAATAAACGAAAGATTTGTACAGGCTTTTCTTCAAAAACAAATTGAGAAAGAAAAATAAATAACTTTTCTTGAAATCTATTCATCATGAAAATAATATTTGGTAAACTTTGATTCAGAAGCACTACATGAATCTACTGTAATTTGGAGGGGAAAAAAAGTCCAATTCAGATTAGAAAAAAAAATTACTACAGGAAACTTAGACTCGAAAATGAACACTAATTGAATCACACAAGGACCCTCTGAATTCAAACTTTCAGAGGCAAGTTCTCCAAATAAAAAAGGGAGAAATGTAATACCCCTTTATTGTGTTATTTCATTGTTTTAATGAGACAACCGCTATTAGTATTACACTAGTTAAATTCTTCAATGACATTCAGTTGAGAATTGCACAACTTGTAGTTCATGCACGAAACTTTGTATTGCAAGTGCAAGCAGCACCAACTGCACGATTGTATTGTTGTAGATCTAACATAACATGCATGTTCGTGTTTATTCTGTCTGATAACCGAGTTACTAGTTGCAGACCGTTGGACATTATGCTGGTACCCATCTTCACAATGTGGGCGCTCTTCAAAAGTTACAATTATTATGCATACTGCAAATTATATGCCTATTTTTCACGGTGCAATGTAATCGTTTTAAGCGGATTTTTTTTGGGGGGGGATTTAATGTTAGAACTATCTAACCATTTATTGAAATAATTGCTGGAAAAAAATTGTCACAATTTGGCACAAATTATCCGCGGGGGGTGGGGGTGGCAGGGCGCCTCCTGTCCAATCAGGATCGAGGATTCAAGTTTGCTTGAAGATAATGTCTGTTATGAGAATCGTTGGATGCTCTTGTAACACAACTCGCTGAGATGCTCTTAGAGAACCCGAATACTGTATTGACAATCCAGGGAGTAGTTTATGTTTTTTCTCATGATCTCAGTTTCATGAAATTTCGATCATATCAGAAAGCGGATGTTTATTTGAATGTCTATGCAACCATGTGCCATGCACCTCTCTGCATGTAAGCTCGCGTGCGCACATACATAGCCTTTAGTCAAGTCCCACGCGCTTACCCGGACACGTGACGCACAACGGATGCTGACACGTAAAAAGACTAGCACGAGCGGCTCCACCGCTCGTGCTAGTCTTTTTACGTGCCAGCATCCGGGATGCATAATTACGTGTCCGGATGGTCCGGGTACAGGCGCGTGGGACTTGACTAAAGGCTAGCACATACACGGCACCAAACAAACCCAGACCTCATCACGCCGCACCACCGACAACGGGTGAATGACCGAAGACCCGACAGAATAAAAAGCGCCCGCTAGTTGGCCAAAATCTAGGGGACAAGATGCGGTTGTATTGCATAATTAATCAGGGAATATGTTCAAAAATTATAGACCATGGCTTTACATAGACTAGTTGGGGTCAGGCCTCGGGTCACACGGGTTCTCTGGGATATTTCGAAAGAAGAAAATACTGATCTGCAGGTAGACACAAAGAGATCCCTGATGGATCGACAGATTTTATCTAGCTTTTCTTTTGATCGACAGCTTGTACTTTGACTCCAACATTTACTAGGCAGATTCACTCAAAGAAACTGTTGTCCAAACTATACATGTGGATAGTGCATCAACATTTTTTGCAGTAGCGTATAATCGTGGGGCAAATTTTCCGGGGGGCTTGGGGTCCAATTTTACAAATATTTCTGTCTGTTTCCTCAACATTTTAAGCAGGGTCGCACAAGGGGAAATGTGATTCCCCCATCGTCTTTCGACGTTCGTCCTACAAAAATTCCTATAATCACTTTCAAGATTTAGTCTTCTAGCTGTTAATAAATGAACCTGCAAAACAAAATGGCTTAATAATGGTTTTTGCATCAAAATGTAATGGATCTTTGTCAAAACACAAGACAATAAAGTTTTTTTTAGAAGTTTTTCATATTTGGTAATGCATCACTTCGTCAACTTATACATTTTGCAACAAAATGGCTCTTCAGTAACCAACATTAACAGAGACTCGCCACTTTTAAATGTGGTATATACTTTGGGGCAAAATGTTCCGGGGTTTTCTTTTCATGTTGATTTTCGGTCTTATGTTTTGGGGCCTTTTTAATGTGTTTGTAGTTTTATTGTATTTTTGTTTGTTTGTCCAGGGGTTTGAAATGTTTTCTTTGTTTCGTTTTGTCGGTGACGATTTTAGTTTGTGGTATTGGTAAGAGTTAATTTAACGAAAATGCTTCAAAACCCCGTGTTCTGCAAAAGCCCTCTCATCAGGTGATCTTGCATCAATCATAGATAGTTTTGTGAATCAGTTGATTTTGTTTTAAAAATTAACTTTTACATTTTATACGGGTGGGCCAACATGCTCAAAGTTACATAGTTCAATTTGCTCCATTATGTCACAGTCTTGTGATTTTCTGGATTTAACCTTAGTACAGAGATTCGCTGTGTATCTGCTTTGTAGACCGTGTCACGCGGTAGGTCTACTGTTTACATTTCACCGTGTATTGAATATAACTTGCGTCAGTACGTGAACAAACACACAGTGTTGAACCTTGAACTTCTTTTCACAACACAAGCAACCTATTTCTGTAAACAGTACGAACAAAAGAGGGGAGCTTTTGGAGGTCCATGTATCATTACAGTGTAACACGACTGAGGGGATGGACACCATCTGAATAGTCTGGTTCCCAGACCAAAAGATGCTGACTATTCCTGATAAATCTTAGGTCCGGTAGCCTCCGGTAATATACATTGTATTACAATTTACGTCACGTGAAAAGACTAGCACGAGCGGTGGAGCCGCTCGTGCTAGTCTTTTTACGTGTCAGCATCCGGGATGCATAATTACGTGTCCGGATGGTCCGGGTACAGGCGCGTGGGACTTGACTAAAGGCTAGCACATACACGGCACCAAACAAACCCAGACCTCATCACGCCGCACCACCGACAACGGGTGAATGACCGAAGACCCGACAGAATAAAAAGCGCCCGCTAGTTGGCCAAAATCTAGGGGACAAGATGCGGTTGTATTGCATAATTAATCAGGGAATATGTTCAAAAATTATAGACCATGGCTTTACATAGACTAGTTGGGGTCAGGCCTCGGGTCACACGGGTTCTCTGGGATATTTCGAAAGAAGAAAATACTGATCTGCAGGTAGACACAAAGAGATCCCTGATGGATCGACAGATTTTATCTAGCTTTTCTTTTGATCGACAGCTTGTACTTTGACTCCAACATTTACTAGGCAGATTCACTCAAAGAAACTGTTGTCCAAACTATACATGTGGATAGTGCATCAACATTTTTTGCAGTAGCGTATAATCGTGGGGCAAATTTTCCGGGGGGCTTGGGGTCCAATTTTACAAATATTTCTGTCTGTTTCCTCAACATTTTAAGCAGGGTCGCACAAGGGGAAATGTGATTCCCCCATCGTCTTTCGACGTTCGTCCTACAAAAATTCCTATAATCACTTTCAAGATTTAGTCTTCTAGCTGTTAATAAATGAACCTGCAAAACAAAATGGCTTAATAATGGTTTTTGCATCAAAATGTAATGGATCTTTGTCAAAACACAAGACAATAAAGTTTTTTTTAGAAGTTTTTCATATTTGGTAATGCATCACTTCGTCAACTTATACATTTTGCAACAAAATGGCTCTTCAGTAACCAACATTAACAGAGACTCGCCACTTTTAAATGTGGTATATACTTTGGGGCAAAATGTTCCGGGGTTTTCTTTTCATGTTGATTTTCGGTCTTATGTTTTGGGGCCTTTTTAATGTGTTTGTAGTTTTATTGTATTTTTGTTTGTTTGTCCAGGGGTTTGAAATGTTTTCTTTGTTTCGTTTTGTCGGTGACGATTTTAGTTTGTGGTATTGGTAAGAGTTAATTTAACGAAAATGCTTCAAAACCCCGTGTTCTGCAA